TTGTTAGATATAGCTGCTGTTACGGTTGCCGAAAAAGGATTATGATATCGGCGATTTATATAATCCGCTTACATAACTTGTTTTCGATTTACCTAATCTTTTTCCAATAAAGACAGTCGCAAACTGACATTTTTTTCCCAAATTCATCGCGTTCCTTAGAAATAAAAAGAATCGAATAAAATTAAATTCACTAGAAAATATATCTCTGATTTGACAAGGAATTAATTAAAACTTCGTATTATGCAGCTGCGATAAAATAAAGTAGGCAAAGCAACGAACAAACATGAAAGTTGTAGTATTTTTAGTTCACGTGTGAGCTTCGCAAATATTATAAGAGTGTGGGGGGGATCTCTCATTCGTTTACCTATTCATTTCTAATGAATAGGTAAACGTATGTGTGTTTAGAACGTGTACGCGTGTGTAGAACGCACGTTTGCTTTTGAAGAAGCAGATCTTTCGATTTTATCGCGAAGATATCGCGATCTCTTTTCGTATATCGCGCGAATCAATATTTACGCGGCGCAGTGCAAATCATTCTCTAAGGGTTCGCTTCCGCGTATTTCAAAGCGCGTGGAAAACACGCGCAACAATGGTTCGTACGCAACAATAGCTCGTACGCACAAATACGATGTTTATTAAAAAACATATCGACTATGCGAAAAACACGTGATGGAACGGTGATTCATTTTCGAGCGGCAGAACAGCGCGTCACTTATTTACGATCGCTTATCAGTGAGAGACACATTGGTCTCTAGACACACTTCGTATATCGAATCACACGCTGCACAGGCGCGCAATACAGACGGCAATCGGGCCGCCAACTAACGCTTGTCGCCTGTCGCTAACTATTAAATTTCATTACACTTTGTAGGATCATTAATCGTCGGAAACTCCTTTATCGAGCGCTTCGCGCACGAGTGGACCGTCGCGCGCGTTCGGAAATCGCCAAGAAATCCCAACCCAACTTCTATCAACTAACACACGTATACACGCACATGCACGCGCGCACGCGTGTATACGTAGCTTCGCGTCTGGCTGCTTGCCCGCGCACAATGAGAACAATATTGTCACGAGGTTTCCCCGAGAAAAACTTTTTAATCTCTCGAGCGAGCAGATGCTTTGCGCGCGATGACGACTCTCGACTTGACGCGGCCGCATTAAAGCGCCGCGAGAGACGCCGTTAGCTGTCTCCGCGTTTCCGTAGAATTTTCCTCGAGATTTCGGCGCGACGCTCGCTCGTTCACTCGCGTGCTCGTCGCATTTCACCCGTGACTTGTCGCCGCTCGAAAAGTCACGTGTCTCGTTCGAAACGTCAAATAACGGCGCGCGCGACTCGTTTACGAAGCCCATATCGTCGCCGTCGCGTCGCAAATCGCAGGTCGCAAGCGCGGTCGGAAACGAACGACATAAGTTACGAGGCGCAATTGCGCCGTGGTAGACGACGTGCGTGTCACCTGACCCTCTTCGACGTCAGGTTCGAGAAGATGGAAGCGTGTACCGCGCGCTCGATACGAAGGTCTACGCGAAGATTTAGAAAACATGCTTGAAAAACGTGGGCATATCGTGTTCTACATCCTGCCTGTCCCCTCCCCCTCTTACCACCCCCTCGACTCTTTTTCCTTTTCTCTTTCCCGCGCCTGCGACGCGGCTTTTACCGCTCTCTCGGTGTTTTTTACCGCGCGCGCGATGTTCGCGCTTCAACGTTGTGAAACGATAGGGAACTTTTTTAATCTTCGGAGCGCGAACGAGCAGATGCTTTCACGACGACGGTTTCCCGACTTGACACGCCGCGTTAAGAGCCGCCGTCGCGCTGCGCGGGGATGGGAAAGAGAGAGAGAGAGAGCCGCCGTCGCGCTCTCGTAGCGAGAGACGAGCGCGCGACGGCTCTCTCGCCTTTGCCGCTCGTCCTCAGCGCCGCCGTCCCTCAGGATTCCGGCGGGCCGTGGACGTCGGGAATGACGTGTCGGTAGAGATTTCGTTCCGGATGCCGGGGAAGCGCTGCAGCGGGGAAGGCAGCTGAATAACCGGGGCGAGACTTCGCGGAGCGCGCATTACGCTTGCCAAGTATATAGCCCGCAAGACCGTAACTAGGTGCACGATATTCCGGAGGGCCCACGTCGAGCGTGAAAATATCATTTTTAATGCCCCGTCAGAGGCGCGTTTACCACCCTGACGTTTATCCTCTCTTTTCAGCGAAGTTCAACGCGCGTTCGGTTGTCCGCGCTTCAGACTGCAGCCGACGCTGAATAACGATTCGGTGATATTTTCGCGTTAATTCAGCGAATCAAAACCACGATGCAGAAAAAAGCTCTGACGCAATTGCGTATTGATTACACGCTGAAAAAGTTTGCATTTCCATTCAACTGATTGTTCCGTTAATTTATATACGCATATTTATTTACAGATGAAATAATAAATTCGAATACCGCTTCTCGTTATATTCGCCGTGCGTGTTCGGAAATTGTGTACGTTCTACGCGTTATGTAAAGGCGACTGGTACGCGATACTGCATTACGTAACCCTAAGCGGACGATCAAGTGAAACCGCTTGGCGGTAACGAGAGAAATAATATTAGCGACGCAATGGCGGCCGTTGCAGGGGATCGCTTTACACAGTTACTTCCCCGTGGCGACCTTCCCCATGCGAGATCGCAACCGCCGACGCATAGTAATTCGAGATCACGCGCTGCGGCATGGTTTTATCGCGTTAACGCGTCCTTTCGCTGGCCTTGCCGCGCGATAACGCATTATATACGGGCCTCCGAGCGCGCGGAGCTCTTCACCGTGAAAAGCCCGGCCATGGCTGGCACCGAACTAAGCACGGATGACGCGATCAACGATGACGGGTCGGTTGTAACGATTTCGTTCCGGGCGCGCCGGCAGACGCGTTCCGCTTTCTCGCGAGTCCGTCCGCGCGTGATGCTGGTAGCCCCGCGAAATGATTCGTCACTCCCGACGTTTCTCCTCTTCCGCCACCCTTGCCGAGAACCGTTCGATTCTCTCGCCCTCCGCGCTTCCGCCCCCCTCTCTCTCTCTCTCTCATATCCTTTCCTCTGCCCACTATCTCTGCTTCCCTCTCCTGACGTCATCCCAAACTTCCAGAGGGTCGCTGGCGGGCCTATCCGACCGCGGGATAGAGAACGGCGCACGGTCAGCCCTGTTACCGTGGTAACGCAATACAGGAACTAAATTCCGTATGTACTCGGGACTAAGTGCACTCCCAACCGAAATTTCATGGCCTAAGCAAACGTTACACCGACACTTAAACGAGATTTTGTATTAATGTTTAAAGCGATATACTGCCACGGCCGCGTTGCGCAGATTGCAATCAGTGAGGGATACCCGCGGCGTATATAACTGTACGGTTACGGCGTATTGTTTGAAATGTTCAAGTGTTCGCGAACGCTTAACCGGATTTTGTCAGATTTACTACGCACTTGCGATGCGTAAATAGATGATATCCGCTGTGAAAAAGAGTCAAGGAAATTAAATTGCCGCGCATACCTTCTCCCTCGCGTGATATTTCATTTATTATTTCAAACTAAATAACAGAATGCACATTGTTGATGCATCGAGACTCGAGGATAGCGATAAATTATCTTCCATCTGTGCGAGGTACGCGATCAATCTTCCCGTTCGACGATCGCCGGATATGAACATTTATTTTTGCGAAATTACTCGAAATATATAAATGTATTTTTAATTAAATCGCGAATTTACAATCGAAAGATAAACGATGAAGAGCATAGAATTACACCACTCGAACATACCGCTGAGAAGATGGACGATAAAGTTACAGTAAACCAGAATTAATTCAGAATTACTACCGTGAGATACCGAATGCGTTCTCTCTTCTGTATATTTTTCATTTATTCAAAAGTTCCTCCGGCCAATCTTTTTAAATCAAAATTTCAAACCCCCTGTATTTTACGAAAGTATGTCAACTAATTTAACAATTTCTGTAAATATCTCTAAATAGACATTTTTACAATGCGTATTGACAAGAGGAGAACCGTATTGTTAAAATCAGATTTGCAATAAGATAAACGAGATAAAAATATATTCTCGAACAACTGTAGAACTTGTTATAAAATATCATTTTCTTTCTTGTTATTCCCTTCAAATATCAGTACAAATAAAATGACGAGAGACGTAATGGAATCCGCATAAATCTACCACGCTGCGTACATGCGGCAGAAAAATCGTGACGCCGGTTGAGGGTTAAACGAGTTATCGGGATGCGTCGCGACATCGATCCGCGCGTGTACCTTTTTTTTTTTGCGCGAAACACTGCGAAGGGCGTATCCGGAATCATTTCTGCGTCTTGGCACGGAGACGCCTCATAGCCTGCAAACTGATCCACGGATACACCGGAGAGCCTGCGAACTGCATAGCGACAGGCATCCTCGACGTACTCAAGAGTCCGTGAATGTCTCGCGCGTGCGAATATATCCGAAGGCTCGTACACGCCGGCGTACACACGCGCACACACGCACACACGTCTGCATTTACATTAGATATAAAATCTCGCTGCGACGTCGTATACCGATGCGAAATCTTTCTAGCTTGCGTCTGATCTCACGCATTGAGTGCATGCGGCATCCATCGGATTTCGCGTATCTTTCCTTTACAACGCGCTTAACGCGAACGACAATAAGATATTCGACAGCGAAGTGGATCGCGAATCTAGAAATGCGCAAGATCTCGCGTGTCCCTCATTAATAAGTGTACGCGTCGTTTGAAGCGTCGTAACATATTTCTAACAGGATCGAAATTGGCCATAATTCGGAATGACGCGGAAATAATGTCTCACGCATACGTGAACTTGCGTCGATTTCTGTGTAACGGCATCTCGCAATCTCCGCTAATGAAACTGCGTCTCTGAAAACGGCGTCGTTACGCTCGAGTATCGCGAGGCCAATTAGACGGACTGGATGTTAAAAATTAAATAGGTGAATCATTATGTGAGGACGCCGCTAAAAGAGGACTTCTAATTTTCAGGTGGTTCGCTCCTGACCCGAGAGCGGAGTTTTTTATAACATTATTAAAGAAAAAAGGGAACGTGCTGCGCGAGGCAACGAAACTTTCAGCAGGCCGCTACTCATCGTCGGGGTAAGTGGTACTTTAAAAATTAACTGAGAATATTATATAGTTTTTATATAACCGCGACATCTTGGTCGTATCACGTTTTACACTTTGCAAACCGGCGAGCGGAAAGCTTCTCTCCATCTCGCGTTTACAACGTGTATATGCAAATCTCTGGTAGGAAATGGCAAGATGTATACGGACAGTGTGATATAATTATTTTATGCTAATTAGGAGGGAAAAGTCGCTTTATAATTTGTGCGTATTATTAAAATTTTATAATTTAGCTGCAACTCTTTTAACCTTAATTTTGAACACCCATAGTTGCTTACAAACCAAAATAAAATATTCAGTAAGGATTAAAATTCGACTCGGATGAATAGAAACAGAGTGGTGATATTAATTACATTCGCAAATTAGAAAAGAGCAAGAGTGAAGGTATGTGTGATACAAAAAAAAAGAAGATATAATTATACATATTGACACGGTCTTCTTTTTGACGCGCGACATACACATCTCGCTTTCTGCTTATTAAAGCCTACCATTTACCTCATATTACTAGAGCACTACCAAAAAGCATATCCTTTAATCAGGACGCATATTGCAATGCTGTAAATGTTTTCGAGATAATGAGTTACATGTACAGCGCCGCCGCCGGGGTGTTTTTATGCAAATTTGACGCATCACAAATTACACGTTATTTGTATCTATTTAAATTTTACACTCACACAGTCTGTAAACACCCGCGTCCGTATCTTCCGTGGACTTAACTCGCGTTTTTATGAAATTGCACGGCGCATAACCGCGGGGAGAACATTCCGACGAGATTTCCAGACGGACTACATTTTGCATTAATGCTAACGAAAGCTTCAAAGAGCGAGAACATTTTGTTTTCTTTTTCCTCCCTTCGGCCGCACTTGCCAGACGGTTAATTTGTTTCGAAGTATTGAAGTCGAATCCCGATTCAGCGGGGTGGAAACGCGCGGCGCGAAGACGGCGAAATTATTTCGCGACCGCTACGATCGAAGGCAAAGAACGGCTGACTGCGTAATGAAATGTTATATTTCCGGGAGATAACTCTGCCGGAAATGCTTGCACGGCTAAACTTACCCGATGAATTTCTCGGCGCACAAGCTGCAGGCGAATTACATTGCATTGCTTAATTAGAGCAAAATAATTTTACGAAAGTCATATAATTGCACTGCGCACAATATGCATGCAGTATTTTGTTCAAATATGCATATCAGATGTCTTATTAATATGTTGAGCTCTACTTCTGGCCGCAAATTTGTTCGGACTAAATTCTTATTTATTAAAAACTGATTTTTTTTTATAACTTTTGATGTCCAATTTTAAACATCTTTGTAACTAAAATCGAGTTATAAAATTCTCCAAAGGTAAGATCTTCCCATAATTTATACTTAATAATCATTTTCTCGTGGATAAATATGTAACCAGTAATTCGCATTGATAAATGTTTAACTTACGTGACTAGAAAGTAGTGAAATATCTCGTTTTGAATCTTTATTAAGACCAGTTCACGGCTAAGCGATTAATTATCGATAAACGAGGTATTCTCTGAAAATCAGTCGCTTTAAAGTTCTTTGAGAAAGATTCATTAATTATAAGATTTCTTTTGTGCTAAAGTAATTCCAAATTAATGACATAAGTTGCTAACAGCAACCATTAAGACACCTTGAAACTTTTTCGAATAAAGCTTAACTATAAAGTTAACTATACGCGTTACGTTCATTGATGATTCTCGCGAGCTTCTCACATATGAATTACTCTGTAAAGAATTTTTTTTATAAATGTTGCAAACGATGGCATCAAAAATTTTCAAGGAAATATAATGTTTAAGAGTACGTATGCCATTTAGGTGACATCTTAATCAAAACTGCGAGATATGTTACAGCGTGTCATAACAACGTATTAACGCTCTGTGTACATCTGTGCGTTATTTCATCGCGAATTAGAGTGAATTCGAGGATACATATTCACCCTTTCAATGGCCTAGATATCTATCTGCAGCGACAGGACACCGAGCCCGCGAGACTACGACATCCTGCACATTACGAACTTCCGCGAGTCAACTTCCACTAGGTCGGAACAACGGCACATAATTCCTCGGCAGCGAGTAATTACTTCGGCGGGAAATTTCCGTCTCTAACGATGAATTGATGATACCCGCACAATCTAATTAGCATTACTTCTTTCCCCCTCGGGTTTTCGCGGTAGACTTAACGCGTTGAATTCTGTGCAAGAAAGGAATATGTGCGTTTGCTACGAAGACAGGCAAAAACTTATCAAAATATTATGTCAGAAGTTTCAAGCCAAATAGACATAACGCAATTAAAAATGTGACGATAGATAAACGAGTTAATGTGAAAAACTGAGAAAAAGAGTTTATTTTTTTTGGTACACGAACATTTATCGTGCGTGAATATTTTTGCAATTACTCTCTTCTCTCTTTTCCACTTTTGATAGTTTGAACATGATTATTTATCATAATTTTGTAAATTTGAATACAAAAGATATTGCTAAAATAGCGCTTTTTTATTTCTTCTCAGATTTGTCAAAAATTTTATGAGATTGTCAAATCTTTTCAAATATCCTACCGTTATTCGAGTTAGAGAGGAAATGAATTCACGTAGACGTCGTTCAGAACTTAACATGTGACAGTATCTAATTCGGTGGTCATTAACCTGTCTACCACACAGGGACAAAGTAAACTTCGGTCTGTGATTGCGTCTCGTTTAGTGTGCTCGTGCACCTTAACGTAGGCTGTGCAAACTCGGTGTTTAGTGCGAGAGCTAATTTGGCATTGACCAGTTACGCTTTGGCGCCGGCGGACTTACCAATGTTTATGTTGCCGTTGGTTCCGGACTGCTTACTGACAATACTGCACCGACCGGAAGTAGCGGCAACATTAGTTGTCCCTGAAATACGTCGCTCCTATAACTTTCGTAAATGCCTAGCCTGACCTGCTTTGTCCGTATACAAAGGGCGAGAACCAGCGCACATCAATATCTGCACCTGAAAATCATGAAATAAACCTTTAATAACGTTAATATTTTAACAAGTAAACGTAAAAATATATTCTCAATTTTTATTATTTAAAATGATATTCGAGAAAAATTTCATTAAAGAAATATGCTTGAACTTTGATTGTCACTATTTGTGGTTTCTATTACATTTTTTAAAATAATTTTTGTTGCAACACAAGCTTAGATTTCTTTTCTTAATTTTGCCAAATTTAAAATAATTAACTAGATTATTTAAGTATTCAACGAAGAAAAAATTATTATTATTCTAAAATTGGGGGCTTTAATGCTATTTTATAATTTAAATTGTTATTTTATCATAAAGCATAAAAATTGGAAGATAAAAAAGTAGAAAAATAAAATACAATAAAATTAAAGAAACGGTAAAATAGAAAATATATATTTCTTTCGCGTTCATATCGACGTAACACTGACCTCCTTTCTGCAGTCGTAAAGGAGAATGCAATTTGGTGAAACTCTAAAAGCACATATGCCATAAGATGTAATAACTTATAATTGAACCATCAACGTGATCTTGCAGCAAGCTTGCAAGCTCGTTTAATATAAGATTACGTTCTGTGTGACTTATGTCAGATTATCGTCGATCCTCTTAGTGGAAAGAGGAATATTCTCGATATATATTCACGTCATATTCAACGGTTATTTACTATATCATATAGGTAATTATGAAAAGGATTGTGCTAATGAGTGGTTTAATAATTTCAATCATCAGTATGATATTATGCAACTATTATCATGCATAAATTCCACGTATTATTGTATTATTGTATCATTATTTCATCAATCAAACATACGTCTCATGTTAATTAACGAAGACTACTTGCCCCAAAGCGCACCGCGCAATAATTCCAAATGTAAAATTAATTCGCATAATAAGAGATTGATTGAAGATGATTAATGAATGTTTCAGCTGTACGCGTCTACTGCAGCGTTTACAGGCAATTCGCGAAAATTAGTCTATTCTTTAACAAGTGCGTTTTATCCAGCGCTATAAGAAGAGTTATCGCGCGCGAAGCTACTTAATTCGAGCCGTTCCGCTGTTACTTGTCAGTACGAGAACGTCGCTTTGTCATGTATCACGCAATCATCTCCGTCTTTGACGCCGAGGAACCTTTTACGGCACCATTTTTCTCGTTACAGCGATCTGCATGCTAACTCGCTTCGCGTGCTCTTTCTCTCTCGCGCGTTATCTCGCTATCTCGTCTCTATATAAAATAAAAAAAAAATGCAGCACAGGAAAAGGTACAAAAATAAGAGGACGAGAAAGAGAGCGCGCTCGAAAGAGCGTGCACGTGGGAGCACGACTTTTGATGTTTTACAAGCAACTTGCTAATTCAGCAGCGCGCTACCCATTTTTATAACGTCGCCGCTGATCCCCCCCTCTTGCCCTCCTACCACCCTCCCCTCTTCGTCCCCCGCCTGCCTCCCGAGGCGTGCGTGGTAATTAAACGTTGTACCGCCGACAAAGGGCTCGGGAAAAGGGCTGGGGATCCGTGATCCGTGCGCGGGGCGTCCGACAAAGAGACCAGAAGCCGTTTGCCGTATCGTCCCGTTGTCCTTCGGCAATGGAGTCAGCCGACCTTAGGAGCAAACACAAAAGAGTGCGTCCGCGACCGCCCGGTTAACTTATCTTGTCTGTCGCACCCAACCCCGCCTGCCTCACGTGCCCATGGCGATGAACCGACCGGGTTCCAACATGGAATCCGTCCCGCGTGTGCGCGCGCGCGCGCTCTACGTGTCATTCCCGTTCGCCCCATTGTTCCTGCCGATCGACAGCGGTTCGAATCCGTCTGTATCGCTGCGAATCTGTCCCCCGACGATGTTTTAACAGCCTTGTTCGCCGATACGCGCGGTTTCCCGGGCGCATCTGTCGGAGATCGATCTGTGTGCCTAGAATTCCTAGGAACAGTTGGATATTGCTGATTTTTTTTCTTTTTTTCGCTGATCGAATGTGAATTCGATATTTATGTGTTTTCAAACGTTAGTTTGAACTTGAATACTTACACGATTCACTACAAGATCGCAAACTAATTGTTGAAATGAAAAGTACGTGTGCTTTTTTAGATTCCTTTTTTTTTTAAACTAACATTTCATATTAATGTCTTTATTTTAAAATTAGAAACAAAAGTTCGAAGCACTTTGATGGAGAAGATGTGATTCATTTCAGATAATAAAGTTTAATGCTTCTCTCCGTGGTCTATTTATTTATACTTCTCGGTATGACTGTTTATATTGGAAAGCTTTAGCCTGTATATTTCACATTTAACGTTAATATAATCTAATTATTTTAGTCCGCAATTAATCTAATTATTTTAGTCTGCGAGTTTTTTTAATATGGCAGAAATAAAATAGAATCGAATAATCACATTTAATACTAAATGTGAAGTATAAATACGGATCTATAATCGTAGATTTACCATCATCCTTACTTTTCTCATAAATGCGACATTTCAGGTCTCTAATGGATACCATACCACCCAATCACTCAAGCTCCCAGTACGGCTTTAAATGGATCTTATCTCGAGCAAAAAGCCTTTCCCCTCAATCTCTTTTTCCCCGAAAATTGTCTCTTCTCTCTCAATGTTATGTCCATCAAGATTAACTTCAAAATGCATGTTCAAACAGATATAAATCGATTTCCTTTAATAATTTCCTCCTCTCTATCTTTAGCCACAAAGTAGGAAACTAAAGAAAGATCGAGCTGTCTCTTGAAGGAGTTTACCTTCTGCTCCACTAAACTTCTTTCCTGAAAGTAAGTATGAAGTTTAGGGTAAGGATTAACTTGAAGGTAATTTTTAAAACAGCTTCTGCTCTGATCTTGATGTCGAGCTTGAAACGCAGAGCTGAAAGATGCTCTTGCCAACTTTAATTTAGCTACGTATCAATCAATTATATTTAAAATTAAGATGGCTGCAGGTAATCGCGATTGGCGGAGAATAAGTTTCAACGATAATAATTATTGCGAAGTATTTAGCAGTTGAAGCAGTGAGAAAGATGTATATTGGAAACTTGAAATTTCAATTACGCAATTGTAAAACCGAGCTGTTAATTTTCTCTTTTTCGCAATAAGTCGCTAAGATGTTTAAACTGTTAATCACAATTTTGTTACGACTGTAATATTTAAAAGGAAAGTAATAAAGACATGAGCGGGCATTAAGTAGCGATTAAATAGAGTTCCGCGTCGGGTTTCGTCCGGAATGAACGGCGCACCTGACTATTGCTTCTGTCTTCCCATTGTCCTCCGCGCCAAATCGGCCGACTGAATCCGCACTGTCTACTCTATGAGTTTTCCGCCGATATTGTTTGTCCGCGCATTACTTTCGGTGCCGCCCCCGGGGGACAAAAAAGTTTATTATCGCGACTAACTCCGGCAAATTCGTTCATTTGGCAGAGATAGGGAACGCCGGGTGCGCAGGTCCACTCCCTAACTTTGCACGTTAAGGACGCCGATAGCGATGCGATGGCCGTTTGGCTTTGACACGAGAGTTCTTCGGCGAACGATATGACGCTCGCAGAAGAGCCAACGGGGTAAAAAAAACTCCCGTAAAAATTTTTCGAACGGAGCTTTTTCTAAAAGAACAATGCGGGACTGTATGCTTCGAGAGACGGCGCTTTTATCTTTGTTACTATTGTTACCTTTGTTGCGCGAAATGGCACGTAATGGACTGTATTGCTGTTTGAATATTTGATATTACTGAAATGAAATAAAATGGAATAATCGCAAAGAATTAAGCTTTTAATATTTCTATATTTAAGACACATGGAAATCTATGTGTTGGATAAATCGATATAACGAACTGGAGTAGTACATTTCTGTGGAGCCGCAATGTAAAGTTTTGCAGTTACATAGTGTGATAATCGTGATCATTCCACCTGGATGACATTTAGGAGTTAAGAAGTTACATACCTATAGTCACATAGAAACAATGACTTAGTTCCGAGTTTCCGGGTCTCTGTGTCGAATCCATAAATCGATATCAGATATAACTGAATGGTGAAATTCTCGCGAGAATGTGAAAATTATTCAGTTAATTGTTGTGATAAACAAATTTTTGAATTTGTCGCACTCTCATTCCAGTATGATAAAAGATATACATAATTCGTTAATAAATTAATTAACTCCCAATATCTTTTTAAAAAATTACAAATTTGCAAGAAATGAATATTTAAACCTGAAACCTCAATAAAACTTAAATGAAACATTTTTAGATTCACATCTTCTTATAACGCCTTTTGAACATAAAGTAATCCATTCGAGTGCTTTCATAGATATAATTAATACCATCGTAAATCGCCATTATCCTTATTGTTGGTTGTAACAGTTGCATCGAACGTGACAATGGCCCGTTACCAAAATGTAACTTCGCTGCTCGTAAATATAACATTTGCAATAACCGTCTCCGTCGTATATCGACGAACTGAAACCTGTAACACTATCTACAATTCTTCGACAACAAACAATGCTGCAAAATAACAAACGGTTCTACGTGCACTATGATTCTACTGCAGTTCGCGTTCTTATATATTGCATACGTGCTTTGCCAATCGAAAATGTGGCGCATTGCCGATATAAGCGCGCGATATAATGCGAAACAATCGCGACGAAGTTAACGGCCGTCTAATTCATTACCGTCGGCTGAATTTCTCGCCGAAACTCGGGTAATTCGATTAACACACCGACCGGGGCCGGGGCCAAGAATGCGAAACAATTTACTGGCGCGACTTTCCCAGATGTTCGGACCGACGGAAAATAAATTTTTCGCTTTAATAATGCCCTCTAATTGCGGAGCGCGTATAGCGACTTGTATTGCTGGACGGGAGCGGACAGTGGCTTGCAATGGTTGGCGAGTTCGCAAAGTGGATCCGCCTGAAAAATAATGCGCTGCATTTATTGCAGTCAGTGCTCGAAATACGGACGGCAAATGTCTTTAACGTAATTTTAACGTAAATTGTATAATACGGATTTAATTA